GAACATATGTATCAGATGGTTTGGGTTTTATTTCTTAAGTTTCTTATGTTGTGTTTAATATAGGCTTAGATTTTATTTCTTTCTTGTAGTTATGAAAACTCAGAAAAATAATTTAGAAGACAACATAAGAAAATCAAAAATGGATAAAGAAAAGATCATCAAACCATTGGTAAAATACATTTATTTATTTTATATTTGTGCCCATCAATTTACCGGTAAATGAAGTATATGGCTAAATTGCACATTTTGTCAAATGATTTCATCTTGACATTTTCCAATTTCTAATTGACTAGAGCTCATCTCATGGTGACACATCATGTTGCTGATACAAAAACTTTATTAAACTTGAAAATATATATACATAGGATAAGTTACGTAGTAATCTAAAAGAGAAAAGAGAAGAATATATGAAGTTGTTAAGTGAACATGGTGAAAGTACACAATCTATTGAACAAGAAATATACCTTGAGGGTTGTAAATTAAAAACAGTTTTAGAAGAAAATAGCAAGTTCAAGGAGGTAATCTTTTCTTTTTCTCTCAAATAAAGGAGCAATTTCATTATCAGTGTGAGATTTCATTCCAGAAACACAGATTATTCAATTAGCTGAAATTTGAGCTATTTTAGATATGTGAGTTAAGTGAAATTCACCTGAAATGTAGAATTTCTAAATATTATATTTTAGGAGTGTAGGAAATTAGAAGATGAGATTAAAGATATACATAGACAAATGGCTGACAATGATAAAGTTACTGTACAAGTTACAAATAATTTACTTGATACCAGAGGTCAGTGTTTAGTCAACATTTGATAACTTTAACTTGTCATAAATTTTCTGAATTTATTTTATTTTTTAATTTGGACCCTCACTAGCGGGCTGGTTTCATTGTGGTACATGTTTAAATATAACATAACCTGATGTTGGTTTCTGAGTGTTTAGATGAATCATTAATCTGTGCTATAGATGAGGATGTTGAAGATCCAATAATTCTTTCAAATTAATCAAAAATGAGTAGACTTATGCAGCTGTGAAAACAAAATTCACCTTAGTGCACACTGCAGCGTAATCTATCTTCTTAGCTGTTTTGGGAGCATAAATTTGGAAATTAAACATATTTCCATGTATGATTTCATGATTGTATTTAGATGGAATAAATGTATTTAGTTTAAATATTCTGTTATTGTTATCATCTGATGTTGTTATAATAATTGTAATATTTATTATTTTTAGATGAACTTGTTAAACATTGGGCTGAAGATAAAGATATGCAAGAGGTAAAGAACGTTTGACTGATTTGAAGGCAATATATTTTTCAGAAAATTGAGAAATGAATGCACAATCCTGTTTGTGTCCCTAAATAAATTAACCATTACTCAGGTTAATCTTGTCAATGGCAACAACTGAGAGCAACTGGATTTGCAGTAATTTACAGCATCTATGTGAATCTGTCCTGACGACTGAATAATTGTAGTTTGCCATCAGTTTCTCATCTTAAATTTTAATAAAAGGATCTTGTCATCAACCTGAGTTGTCATTATCAATATTGAGATAGTTACAGTTGCACGTAGTCTGTTGATATTTTGATATAAGCATTTTTCTTATGTTTATTATAATAGGTATGCTATAGAGATCCTTCGAATGAATCCCTTTAAATTGGTTCTGATGGGAAAACAATATGTTTTTAAAATATTTTACATTTATGACACAAGTTCTATAGACAATGATAATTCTGTTTTATTTTCCTGAATTTAGTTTTTTGCTACTCGTGATCAAGAAACTGTGGATGCTTTTGGTAAATTATTATTACAAACTGAGAAAAGAGAAGTTAAAATTGGAGAAGTTTCTGTCAAGTTAGACGATGAGTTAACAGTTCTTACTAAATTTCTAGATAATGTTGCTAGAAGAAGACCTAAAGGTATGTTGGAACATTTTGTTTATGGAACTTCTGTTTTAAGCTTTAATCTGTGGCATTCTGTGCCATTAATATCTGAAAAATAGAAATAGTTTTCAATTCACTTTGGACCATGAAAAAAATTAATCAAGTTTTCAAAAGATTCATTGAAAATTTCCGTTTTCAAAATAGTTATTGCCTTAGTTAAGGATGGAATTCACATAATTTCTAACATAACTAAAACCTTTATTTAAACTATGACAGTGTGCATGAGTATTATTTCAAATATCATCGGTTCCATTTCTTTTTTCTTCCTTTTCTGGAACTTTATAGTTACTAAGAAGGTTATGAGGTAACATGGTTTAAGTATTGTCTCTTTTGTCAATATATGATTTGTGTATCCAGCATAGTTGAAATTGCTTAAATAGACTATGATTTTATTTTTATCAAGGAAATTTAAATATATATTGCATGAGGTTAATAGGATATAGCGGACTATATAATTACTTTACTAGCTGATTTACATTATTTTCAGAATTGAACAACAGAGACATTTCAAATCCAATGACACCACAATATTGTTCATTACTGCAAATGACAGTGACTTAATTTTAACACCTAATTTGAGCTTGATCAGCTGGTAAAGCAATTATTTGGACAATATTTCCCTTTAATTACTTCAAAATGCAGATATCTCTTTGATGTTGTATTTAGGGGCAGTGAAGATTGTGATTGAAGTTACCCTGTTATATTATTAATTTAGTTGCCAATCCACTAAGCATGGTTACTATTTATGTTGCCTTGCCCTTATCATTATTTAATATCTTTATGTTCATTCCAATTTTCCAATTCATCATCATTTTGAATATTTATCTTATTAGTTATATTATGATTATTATATATGCATGTAAAGTATGTGCATGAAAGTATTGTGTGATATCTTTAATGACAATAAATCCAAGAGAAAGCTACAAAACTACAAAGCAGCTTTTTGCCTCATCATTTCAAGAACATTACACCCTTATAGAGTTGTTGACTCCTCTGTTAACCCTAAATTCTAAGTTAAAGTTTAATCTTAAAATTTTTTCTGATTTCACACTTAATATGATGTAACTCTTTCACTTGACTTCAAATATTGTTGCGATTTCACAAAAAGGTCACAATAGTAAAACTGTTATGAATTGCATTTACAACAGCAAATATCTTTTATTTCAGAATCTCGGGAAAGAAAAAGTCCATCACGAGGAGGAAGCAGGATGTCTCAAAAGTCCAGTGCAAGAGTCCAGACAAATCAACCAACCGAAACTCCAAGATCAATGAGAGGAAGTCCAAGGTCCAGTTCAAAGAGTCCCAGACCAATTAGTAGCATTCTAAGACTTCAATCAGAAGATCAGTCAGGATTAACCAGGTCATCAACAACATTATCCAGTCACTCCAGAAAATCAGCTAATTTTACAGATCTTCCTTTACCTCCTATAGCCAAGAAGGAAATGAATCAAGTGATAGAAAGAAACTGTTAACTGTGTTTAAATTAGAGCATAACACTCTGTGATATTTTTTAGTGTATTTATGACCTAGCTTGTTTAAATATATGTTTTCAGAAAAGAACTTTGCTTACCATGGCCATTCCCTTTACAATATCTATGTTCACAAAAGAGAACAATTAAGGGACCAATTTCACAAAAATGAATAGCATAAATTTTTTTTGAATAGAATTTGTGTCAGAGGACCAGTTTTTGATACATATGAACATCCACAGCACTAATTGAATAATCCGTATCAAAGGCAATTTCAGTTCATGATCAAAAAAGCAATTAAAGTGGAGTTGCACTATGACCATTAGAATTTTCATTCAAGGAAAGATGTACTCAGTATCATTTTTTTAATCAATTGAATTCAAATAAAGGTATGGGAAAATAAACATGAAGCAGGTGATCATTTTATTGGTTTTGTACATTATTTTGTTAAAGAATGGTATTTATACAATAGCAATATCTCAGCTACATCAATAGCAGTAATATAATAGAAATCATTCTTACATTGTTTGTGCATAAAACTAAATATACAATGCTGTATCATGTGGAATGTTAATAGCCAAGCATTCTTACAGTTGAACTTTTTTTAAGTTATCTTCAGATTGTTTAATACAGTATCACTGAGCAATGAAGAGGCATTTTACATGTACTTTTTAACCTTCCTAAAGTAATAATACAAGTATATAATGTCAACTTGCACATATGAGACAATTGGTTTTAAAGAAAACATATTGTTGTAGGCTAACAGAAAAGAAAAGCACTTAATATAACAAAATAAAAAAATCAACTGAAGCTTTAACAAAATAAATATTTACTAACATAAATAATAACAGTATTAATGTATTGTTCTTAAAATATTAACAATACATCTTATATAGCTAACAATATTTATGCAAGAAATCTCTGGATTTACAAACTTATTTTTGATCAACTACACATCTATTAAAGACATTATCATGTTTTTGTTCTTGTTTATTAAGACAATTTGAGGAGTCTTGCTGAACCGCTCTGACTTTATTGCTGAAAAATACATGAAAAGGACTATATTGAAAACTTAGCTTCACAATTATCACATTAATTACAATAATAATGTAGTCTTGGGCAACTAGACTGTCTTTAAATACATTAATATACAGATTTACAAATATAATGGGACATGCATGGCTTTTGACATCATAATACTTAACACTTCATGAGCCATTTTCTATAATAACCAATTTGATTTTACAATTTTAAACAGTGCTTGGGATTTAATTTGATATTAAAAACTAGTGTTTTAGAAATTAGCCTAAATGGTTTTAAAATTCAGATATCAGGCAGTATAATTTACTCATATCAAAGAGGACCAAAAGAATATTTATCTATATTGGAGGGTTATGTATATGAACATGTGATGGGAGAACTGACAGTGACAAGTTTATATGATGATTATATCTAAATATTTATATTATATAACAATAGGAATATAGAAATATAAATTGTTTGTATCAAACTAACAACAACAACAACTGTTTGAAATATTACAAGGGTCTCAAGAACTACTTTTGACACAATAAATGTTGATAATACCAGACCATACAAACAAAAACAGCTTTTCAACAAAATGTGTTCAGATGATATGAAAGGCACGACCCTACCAATATTTCTCTAGGATTCTTTCTTTAATGCACCTATGCAATTCTTCAGTAATTGAATCTGAGCCTAGAATAGTAAAAAATAATTAAGATCAGTTTATAACACATGCATGTAACATTATTTTGTTTGAAAGTTGTACGGGTTAAATGTACAATTAATCTCCCTTGTGCAAATTATAACCAAAAGCATGCCTTTTCAAAAAAGACATTTACTGCACCTGATTTTTACTGAATATAAAAGCAGAATATTTCATTTATAAATAGAACTAGTAGTTCACAACGTAGATAAGAACTAGTAGTTACATGCACAAGTGTTTCAAGGGCTCTGATTGGCTGTAATCGCTGAAAATCCAATCACTCCATTTACAAACCTCTGTGATAGAAGAGTGCCTTCTTTCAATGCATTTGACAGATATCGTAATAGCTTGTCAAGATGCACATGAATTCATAGGTTTATTCCAACAAATTTAATAGACAAGAGGATATTATAATGGTACTTCATGTGCTGTGTCTCTTTTTTATCTTCATTAATAAGCTCACTTAATTTATCTCAAAATATCAATGTTGCTAAAAAAAATCTTACATTGGCATGTTTTAGTTCTAACTCTGTAATTTCTACAAGATTCTTTTTAAAATAAGCAATTCGCCTAGTTTTAAATTCTGTTAATTCTGAAAGGAAAAATAAACAGTTTAGAATTGAGTAGGATATAAGTGATCATGATAATTCTAACATCAGAGGCTGTTTGTTTAGGAATACAAGCATTTGTAAACAAAGTCAATACTATGAAAATGGTAATAAATGTATCATTGGTAAATGAATAATAATTCTTTAAGGACTCAAAAGGTATGTAGTATATTCAGGTTGTAAAATATTACTATCGCTTGACAAATAATTGTGAAATGCTGGAAGTGAAGAGTATCGCAAAATCTATCCTTTAATTACCAAGACAGATTTAGCTGTTATAGTTTCAAGGATGGATGTGCTTATTTGAGTTACTGTGTTATGCAATGAATAATTCCACACAAGCTGACATAGTAACTGCAGGATTACAAAAGATGCCAACCTTTTTTAGCCGTTTCTGAAATCTTCTCAAATTTCTCGCAGCAGGTTTGTTGTACTCTCTCAGCCTATGAAAGGAATGGTACTAATCAATAGCTATATATTGATCAAATCTGATTATGTAATTACTATAATCTGACTTCATAAAGTATGAACTATCATACAACACGTAATAATTTAAAATTGAAATAATCATAAAAACAAGACGAGGCTTAGATTCTAAAATTTGTATTTCTCTCTACTTTGGAAAACAGCCACATCAACATTTTCAATACTTTTTTGTTTGTTTTAATAATTGAATAATACACACAAATGTATCCAAAATGTGAATATCCACCTACCTGTTGAACCTCTTTGTTTTTTGTGCGGGCTTTTTCTAAAGCTTTATTTGCATTTTCATAATCAGCTAAAGATCGAGCTCTTCTATATAATAAATCTTTACCAGCAGCAGAATCTCTCATATAATACCTTAATGTATCACTTAATTTTAAATCTTCATCTGTAGCTACACGACCTTCTAATTTCTATGGTGTAAAAAAATAATACATAATAATATTTACAGATTCAGAAACAATGACTAAAACACACTTTCTAACCTGGAGGTCTTATAATACCAAGATAATACTTATTTTCATATTTTCAAGCCATTTTCCAATTTTTAGTAATGCAATTTGACAGGATAGACATCAATACAAAGCCCTGTGTGTATGTTAGTAATTTTCAATGATAATGTTTCCTGACTGAAGGTCTAGCAAGTTTTTCATTTCTTTCAGTAACAATAAGAATATAATGTATTAATAAAATTCCAGACCTCAATTAGAAGGATAAGGCTGGAAGTATTCCATTCAATTTAATAATCAAAGTAAATAATCATCTTACCCTAGCCTTTTCTAATGCCTCTGCTACCTTAGTAAATATTCTGTAAATATAATAGGACAAGATTTAACTATAGAAAATTTATGATTACAAAAGAATCCCTTTATAATCCAATAAATCCACATAATAAGTAATAAGTTATTAAAATTAGTATATGACTTTCAAATTTAAGAAATATTAATAAAAGGTAATAGATATTTTCTGTTTAATCAACTTACTTGTCTAATTCTGTATTTTCTAATGTTGCTAGTTGTACTAAAGCTGAGGATATTTGTATATAGGTATCTGCTACATCTACAAATACAATTTACAATAAAAGTCTTCTGTTAACAAGAACTAAAAATAAGTTGTAACCTGTGTATACCATTTCCTTGCCAGTTCTCCTAACATCTGTCAGGAAGAAAATACTTTATAAAGATAAATGCCATTTCTTATCATTACTGAGACAGTTTCTACTCTTTTAATCATATTATTTTCGAACATCTGTTTAGCGTGAACATCAATGCTTAAGTTATATTTTCTTTCAGTCCTTTTTTATTCAACTATCAGGTCATAGATTAGCTGGTACATAAAACTCCGTTCATTTCATTTTCATTCCATGAATTAGTTGGCAAACTCTACCAGGCCTACCAGTTTCAATATTAAGAGGGGCTTCTAGGGCATTTTAGTGTAAAAATTATTACTTTTATGAACTCTGGTCATTCTATCAGCTTTCCCTGTACTATCTTTAATTTTATTATGATATTCAACTAAAAACTGTTTTTCATTTTCAAAAAACTCATCAACATCCTGAAAAATTAAATAATATTTTTCACAAAACATCTCAAAACAATTAGAATTTTGTTTGTTTCACTGACATTTTGATAACAATCTGAAAGAAAAAACAATTTTTTGGTAACAAAATTTAATTCGATTTAGTTTAACTACTTTTTTCTTTGTTCATTAATACCTACTAAATAGTCATGAATTCATCATCAAGGAAACCAATGTAAAACAAACCTTATGTTGTGATAAAAGTGCCTCATCAGCTGTTTTACCAATATTTCTGAAAAATCCACCAATTTTTTCCTTCTTGTTTTTACCACGTACACTTAACTAAAAAACAAAAATGTATTTACTACCCACAATTTTATCTGTAAACATTAGGTTAGCTTTAATAAAAACACCCAATAATATGTTGCAGTTATCTTGACCGATCATTATCAGCAACAGGTGCACAAAAGTAGGAAGTTAAAACACCCATTGCATTTCATATCATCAACACAATGGAAATGTTGAACTATTAGCTACTTACATCTGAATCAAACTCTAAGAAAACTTCAAAATTAACATCAGTTTTTAAAACAGGATGTGCTGCAAGTCTTTGTAAAAACACCTCATGCATAGCTACAGTTTTCTTGAATGTGGCTAAATATTCTCTGAAAATAGAGTATCATTAAAATACAGTTTACTTGAACACACTAGTTACAAGCTCATATTTCCTAGAAACTGAACAAAATTCAAAAATCTTTTGACGGTTGTTAAATTTACTTGTATTTTAGTCTGATCTAGTATTCTATATAATAATATATATGAGCTTATATATAACTTACGCTTCTAACTCTTGTTTCATTTTAACAAATTCTTCCCGTGTCATTGTCCCCTCTCCTTCACCAAGTCTTTGTAGCTTCTCTCTTGAAGCATCAAAATCTGGCTTTGGGGGAGCAGGAGGGATCTATAAAACAATATACAAGACTTCAAGGTGAAACTGTACATTTTAAGCAATAATAATCTTAGCTTTGTCATGAATAGAGTCTTCAGACAAACTACTTTAGTGTCCAAGATTAATATTTGACCAGAAGACTATTTTGCAGAGTTCTATCAAATTGCAAGCCTTATCATATTAAAATGAAATGTGGTAGTATACATACAATGATACCGGCATATTCTTCATTTTCAACATATCTATCATGTAACCATATAAATTCTTCATGTTGTCTCACTACTGAGAATTCAGCTTGTTTAAATCTTTGCAATAAAGTGGTCTGTAAAAAATAACAACAATTAATTGAATATTGAAAAAGCTCAATTTAATCATGTTCAACTTCTTAAAGCCTACAAGATATACTGAAGTCTGGCTTCTACATTACTTGAAAGTGTGTTGCTTAAAATATTACATTACATATAGGTGAGACTAAACAACTTATAGTTTATTGGCCATTTGCTAAACAATTTGATTAATCCAAAACAAAGTCACCTTCATTAAGAGACCGCTTTTGATTATTCCTTTGAATGGTCTTTTAAGATAGTGTCTAGTGTACTTACCTTAGTATGCACTGTAAATTTAACCTTATCTCGTTCACTCAAAGCATCTGATATATCTACAACTAATGATGTATCTGTCAGGTCAACTGTATCTGATCGACTCTTTAATTTAATATATTTAAAATAAAGCTTTATTTAGCAATATGATATGACTCATTAGAAGTTAGATAGCCTGTGAGTGTGACTCAAACTCATATTCTCACATACCTACTTGAGTAAAGGCTAGCAACATTGACTTTATATAATATCACTTAAGATGTTTATGGTAGAGAGATTAAACTATCTTTTTAATAATGCAAATTCATAGGCTGTAGAAAAAGCAGTGTAGTCAATTGTAGAACCTGTTGGTCTATATCTATATCAATATATCTTTAACAAAACATTACCTTAACATTGTCCTCGGCTAAGAGGTCAGGACTGTCATCGATTCCGTCCTAAAAAACAAAATTTAAACTGTCATTACTTGCGTAATGAAATACAAAACCATTATTTACCGGTCGTAAATCTATAAAAAAACCAGAAAAATATCAAATAAGAAAAGAAACCACCCACCATCATGGCTGCAGATGATCACGTGATGCAATTAGATTCGTATCAAATAGTTTCGTATTACATATTTGACAGCAAGGTATTATGAGTATAATATTAAATATCAAATTCGAAACATCCTCCCAAAATGAGACATCCTACATAAATTTCCAAATATATTTATTAAATGGTTTTTGAATAGAGAAAACATTATTTTCGTATCTTCATTGATCATCGAGATAATCCGAAATATTCGTCTTAGTATGATTAAACTTTCCAGTACTGATCTTCACAATGTCAAACTACGAACTTGCGTCCTATACCTTGACTGCAATAGCCACTATTCTTGTATCACAGAATGTGGCAATTTGATTGATCGTAGGCCTACGCCAGCGCATTACAGCCAATCAGAGCCCTTGACAGACAGACTATAACTAGAGTAGCCTATGGCTTACAGTCTTGCTGTCTGGGCCCTGGTTGGTTGTATATTCTAAGGTATGATCCAATCAAATTGCTACTTAATTAAAACTATAGGCCACTGGCCTTCATCAAATTCTAGAGGAATAGGCCTTCGTCTTTTAAAGGGACAGTTCGACGAATATTGTACCTTAGTCCCAGAACGGTAATTTTTTTGTAAAACTACTCAGTAATAGTAATCATAGTTCACCATCGAAATCTGAGACTCCAAATCCGCGTATGTTAAAATGACGCCTCGTCAATTCTCAAGACCCTACAATGTATATGTTTGAGGTATTTTTGAAGAAATTATACAATTTTTGTGAATTCCTTCTGAAAACTGTATAGATATGATATTCAAGATTCAAATCAACCTCCGAAAATGGAGAATCTGTTCCTTTAAATTAACATAACTTTAGCGAAGAGACCAAAGTCGAATGAAATGCCCCAATTTGACGTCCTTCTTTTGACTATATAGGCCTATGCTTTTTTAAATGGTTGGAGTTTACTCATTAAAACAGGAATTCTGACTTTAAAAATATTTCCTCTTGTGTTCATTAATACTTTATAGGTTATTGATTGTTAAATGGGCTGAGTTCGCCATTTTCGGCGGTTGATTTGGGTATTGAATATATGTTAATAATCTTCAGAAGTACCAGAAATGTTAAAAAATTGAATAATTCTTTCAAAAATATCTCAAACTAGGATTTCACTCTTTCTCTTTTTTATATGCCTTTTCTATATGGCCAGAGTCTCAAGAAATGACGAGTCATCATTCTATATTCAAGCATTTGTCGGACGGTGCTCAACTCAAACATCTTGTGAATATATAGCTGCACACAACGTTCGAAATAACAACCGTGACCTCTATTGTGTTTACAATCCATTTATAACGTAAATTCAGTTATATCAAGGGATGTAACTCTGTCGAATTGCACTCTAATTTGAACTTGTCCGAAGTGTAGACATTATCTTTCAATGTGGACATGTAAGAGGCTACTAGAGGAGCCTTGCTCAAGTCAATACCAACCTATCAGTTAAGTATGTAAGCAAAACCGAAAGGTTTTTTATTATATTGTGGGCAAACCAGAAACTTAACAATATCAGCGATACAGATGGAAATAGAATTTCATATTAAACCTATAAAGTAAATAATATACTACTATGTGACTATACATGTAACCTCCAATCATTATTTTCCTTATTGCATCTTCTTTCTTCTTGAGCCTATTCTACTCAGTTATAGTTTTTACATTTACACATAAATCACAAAACAAAAAAAAAACAAATTGAGATATAAAAAGACTTTTTATTTTGCATTCTTACACCACACATATGAAAATGTCTACTAAACATATATTCAAACAAATCTGTTTGCTAAAGGCATAACCTTAGTAATGTCACCTTCCTTTTTACGTAGAAGTGATGGCAAAGGAACAGTTATTTTATTACCTATAGGAGCTCCATTATCTTCAATGAGAACTATATTATTTGTGTCGAATCGCGGTATTTTAGCTTTTTGCTTTTGTTTTACACCAACAATGAAGGCTTTCTTTTTTTGTCCTTTGACTGCCACTAATACCTTGTCACCTAAGGTAGCCACACCATTTTTAGTATAAACATGTATTACACGGGCTGGTTGTCCTGATACTCTGGCTGCTTTACCTAAACTACTATTGTCAACAACTCTCATTCTAGCCATCTTTCTTATTTCTTGTAAACATGTTGATGTGCTGAAATTAAAAAACTTAAATTGACTTAACTTGATCATTCATTTCACTTATGTTGTGCTTATCTCTGAATTTTCACTGTGAAACTTCAAACAGGAATTGATTAGAATCCAAAGAAGTGTATTAACATATGACAACTAACAGTACCATGATCTTGAAATATTGAATAATACTTATTATTCCAATGGTCAGATAATCATAATATAAAAGACAATGAAGTAATCATACACATCGTATAATTCTGTTTAAGTTCAAGAACCAGTACAACTGGAAACAATTTATTTTCATTCTCAAAATTACTACCTGTGCAGGAAAAATAATTGAAAAGACATTAGACTGATGTTTGACTATAAAGCTTGTATTTAACTTTTCAGCAATATAATAAGGTGTAGAGAGGTACATAAATAAGTGATACTTTATAATTGTTGTCATAGGTTCTTGATACAAATACTATTTTTAATTGTACCGATACAACTTACCTGAACAATCTACTACTAATTGAATTAACAACTGGTTGTATTGATCTAACTACATTCATATTCATATTGACAGGTTAAATCTACTTCAATAATCCTGAAAATAGACATAATATATCTATATTCATTCTGCATTAGAATAATTCCTGTAGGATAGATACATCGCTCTACAGTTTATGTTGTAGGCTCTATTGTCGTATTGACAGTATCACTATTAGTACGGTATTGAACACTATTCTAACAACAGTGAAAATATCCAAAGATTGGATAGTCTAAAGTAACAGACTCCCACTCCCAGTGAGTCTCTCAGTTCACCAGTCAGTGTTGTAGTGTACGGCAGTATTTTCGATTTACTGTCAAGCGGCAGTATTTTCGATTTACTGTCAAGCGGCAATATACGATTGTGTAAACACTGTGGTCGGACTGAAACAGAAATTGCAAATAATCCTTTTCAATTTTCATTAGGAATAATAAATAAAACAAATACACACCTGGCATGAAATATATTAAAGGTCAAATCAAAAAACTTTATTAATCAACTCATGTTATGGACGCCATTTTGATTTCATTACTTCCCTTGTAAAAAAAAAACAGAGTAATTTCCCTTCGATTGACTATAGTCTTCGGATAATCCGAAACATTCTGTGAGATGTCAATGAAATTAGTATGTATCCGCGAGGTAAAGAATTTAGGTAATATAGTAAGCTAAGATAGTTAAACAAGGATTCAGAAAAGCTATGCTGGGATGAGAAAGCAAACATTTAGAATACTATATCCCTTTCGTATAAAACCTTTGGCCTACTGCATACTTCCTGAGGTACAGGCGGAAAGAGTTGGTCCATTATAAGATAATATAGAACTTGAAATTATTAACATTTCTAACATAATAATTAAATTCCTTTACGGTGACTGTAATAAGTGTAGGGCATAACCGTATCTTTCGTTTTATCCGTAACCCTTGAACTTTTGGCTGCACACGCAGTTTTGAATAGCCGACGAGACATCAGTTAAGTCGAAAAAAAAACTTGGATGGAACCGCAGACGAGTAATAATTGGTGTTAGGGGATTATGATTGTATGACTGAGCTACAAAAATATTTATCTTTCCGAGTATATCGGGGTTTCGTGGATCCGATTTAAAGAAATAGGTTTAAAACCCCGCACTTTTGGTGGTGCGGAAAATATCCACAAAGCAGTGCCTTGTTTGTCTCACCAGCTGACAACTTATGGCTATATCAGAGGCTGGAATAGAGGTACACCTTTGGGTCTACTGTAGGACCTACTTTACACGTTGGTGTATACGACTTCATTTTCTCTTGCCCTTCTTGCTTCTTTCAGAGTTTACTTGCTTCTTTCAGAGTTTACTTGCTTCTTTCAGAGTTTACTTATGACATTATTTCAAAATACATAGTTCAGGCATATATTATAGCCTGACATTGTGTATGTCTATCATCTAAACCCCATTGTATTCCAGCGGTATTATCTGTTCTTTTATAAGAAAAAGAAATCATGTGGTGTTTTATGATTTATCAGTCGTGTGGAAATTTTCTATCCTTACCCCCCGGAACGAATAAGTATTGAAACAGTTCACACATATATTCACACATTATTATGGTACAGGCAAATGGGTGCGACGTAGAAAATGCCCTTAATTTATTCTACCTTCACTTCCATTCTCCTGCTTCCTACATTAGAAAATTTTCCCTGGCCCCCACCTGTCCTCTAAAATTCGAAAAGGGACACCGGGGCGCTCAAATGCCTAAGCTATTACGGACTTTGTCTTATACTTTGACTGCAATAGCCACCTTTGCCACAAAAGTTAATAAATACAGCGATTTGTTTGGATAGTACGCTAGCGAATACAGTCAATCAGACAAAACGTCTGTAAAGCCATAATGTTTACAATCTTACTGTGGTGGGGTATGACTGGCTGTATTCACTGGCGTTTCAATCAGATCACTGAATTTCTTCTTAGAAAAACGCCCATTTCCCTTATTACAGATATGGATATTGGGGATAATAGGTACCTATAACCACCTAATTAAAAGGTGAAATAAGCAGCAATGCAAACCAAACACTGACAAACCCAATATGTTAAGATACTATATTATATTTTAGTCAGTATGCTGTACTGAGTTACATTTGATTTAAATTGGTATAAATCTGAATACAGTATAACAAAAGTTGGGCTTGATCAGTTTTATTATTTACCTGAGAAAACGGGTTTTATTGTCAATTGTTCAGTAATGGACACGTCGCTAAATTCCCAGTAGTCGTGTGATAACTCGTTAGCCCACAGCTTCACTAGCTCAAATTGCCAACACATGACGTGAAATCACATGGTATTTGTGTCGTCAAGTGAATTGGAGTAGACCTAAGTATATACTCCAAAACTAGTTAACATGATGTAAAAAACACTAATTATTTCACTATGTATTGTGAAGAAAAACATACAAACACTTCATAATATATTAGTTTTAACTATAGGTCCAACTATTTGTATGAGTCTGGTTCGGAGAGAATACATGTGCATTAGTTATTTCAGATGGAATTGGTTAAACAACACTGTGGATATTGACAGAGTATAATATAGCGTATTGGTAATCTCAAAGGTGGGTTTTAAATCCCAACCACCCTACCGCTCGAAAGCTGATAAAAATTTGCGCTAAAATAAGTTTTGTTATTTTAAGGATGGTAGATTTCATTTTACTTTGGACCTTTTTTTAACCGGTTGGAGAAAGCTCTGGATAATTGATACGTAGCCATTACGACTCTAAATGAAGTATTATTATGTCGTTTTCGTTTTCTTCAGTTGATTTAATCAGTGTTAATCTCCATCACAAAGATGTTGAACTCCATTGATTTCATTTACACCAGTCAGATCTTTAGGACAAAAGTCGCATCTCCTCCAAATAAATCAAATCAAGATTTCTAAAATTGGTTACTGAATATTGTAGCAAACAAATTAGTTCATTTGCACCATCATGTTCTTTAGACCAGATTCTCCAGCATCTGTTGTATATTAGTCATGCAAGCGATATTGGATAGTTGCTTTCTGCATAGTGAAAAAAGAAAGAGAAAATGTGAGGTATTTTTTTATTTCAATTATTGACGTTTAGATCACAGAATTTCTTGTCGAGGGTACAGTTTTTACTAAACAACCTCTCCACTTAAGTAACATTTAAGTTATTCTGGGACGGAATCTAAATACCGAATGGAAATTGATCAAATAAATGCCTGTGAAGTCCTTCTCTTGTCTTTAGAGGGGTATAATTTCAACAACCATCAACCGAATCCTCCATTGCATTATTCAAAATACCAACAATAAGCACTTTTATTTAGAAATAATTACTTTTATCAATAAATAATAATGACTGTACTTTCTCACAGTAAACTGACTGTGTGCATTAAAACATCTTAATTTGTAATGGCTGACTGATCTTCTTAAAGCTCACCGATTAGACTTGAAGACTCCATATTTAAATTTCTAATTACAGCTGAGTTAATGCAGTGCATCAGGAGTCAATTAGATTTTGGGTTTCAGCTAATGTCGGTGACTTACGAGCGGTAGTATTCGGTTTATTATGAATATGAATATCTTCCAGATGGTTGCTCATCCCACGTTTATTCCCTTGTGCCGACCCCCACGGCTCTACTAACAATAACCTCGACATAATGTCTGTTTTCATCGAGTCTGTATAATAAAGTTTTAGCTGAGGTTCACTAATCTTATTAGTTGGTTTAGGAGAAACTATTTGTAAAGTATTTGTTTCTGTGTTGATTGGAGATGATTTTTGTCTTTTAAAGTCAGGTTTAATCCGACTAAACACTCGAACATTAGTCCTTGTAGTGTTTGTACGTTGTTTACGACATCGCAACGCATTCAACAACACCCGTCCATATCTATATTTAGTCCTGTCATTGTTTTGAGCATATACATAAGGATCTAAAGCACTATTGAGAAATAAAAGAGCAATGCCACATAGTTTTACTTGATATAATATGATAGATTCTCCAGTAGCCAACTCTATAAATTGTGATATAACAAGTGGACTCCAACACAATAAAATCATCAATATAACAACTAAACACATTGTGATGGCTTTATTCTCTTTATCTAATACTGGTTGTCGAGCACAGCAAGGACATGGTCTAGTTACTGTTCTCCTTGACACTACTACCACTGGTGTTGCACGTCTTTCAATGCCTATTGTCCGATGTGGCACAGGTTGAAGTGGAACACGAACCGATCCTTGATCTTGAACGACACGAACAATGATCGAGTAAGATACGATGATTATCACAAAGCTAACGGTAACTAATGGACTAATAAAGAATAAGATATAATTATGACTGTTAATGTCTGGACTGTTGATTATAACTTGACAGTTTTGGTAAGAATCGTGCCAATTTAATGTCATCTGTAACGTTGACCCTAAAGCAGTAGCCAAGCTAAGAATCCACACAATGCCTAGAATAACAGCAACTTGTGTTAAAGTTAAGGTTCCACGAGCTTGACCCACCACTCTAGCCTGTCTATGAACGGCAATCGACACAATGGTTAATAAGGATAATAATCCACAAGTTATTCCTAAAAACAAGAAACTACCACAGAATATTTTCGGAGACGGAGGATCTTTAAATAATAAATATAAGAAGGCTGGTGAGAGACATGTACACAAAATAAAATCTGCTCCTGCCAAATTTAAGACCAATAAATCAAAATTAGAGCGCAGTTTTTTACATCTTAAAGCTTGAAGTATCACTGAACCATTACCAACACATCCCAGAAACAACACAAAAATAACAAGAACTGTGCACACAGCGAGAGTAGCTGTATGAATCGATCCTTGAAAGCCAACAGTATCGAAATTAAGTCGACTTAAATTACTATAATGTGTTTTCTCCATTTCTTTTCTCCACACTTTCTATTCGCATTCCTTAACGCTTTATTCGTTTTCTCTTGTAAAACACAAACAGTCGAGTTTAAGTAGTTTTAAGTTGGTACATGGTTTGGCGTTGTTCATCTTACATTTCTCTCTCAAACCAATATAAAGTATTTCAGATGGCGACTGAATGGCGACCACTTAAAATGTTCCTAATCGTTCAGCTTCTAAGTGATAAATGAGAATTACTCACTGGTTCCTGCAAATAGAAAACATAGCAGACATTAAATAATATGAGAAATACTTCTACATAACAATAAATACTACTTTAATATAAAACAGAGTGGATATAAATAATAGAAATCAGATGTAGCTCTTACATCTAATAAATACATGGTGCTAAATAGTCTGGAATCACTGTCAGGAATGTTACTTGTAGAAGAGAGAGGGGAATTCCACATATCTTCAGTCTGAGAAACATACCAAACGGAAATAATTCAACAATTGTGTGTTCTTATTCCCAGATAATACTTTACATTTGCTGAGAGAAATTATATATAGCCTAGTTCTAGTATCCAATAGTTTAGTTTTATCAAATGTTAGCATATTACATGGAAATATGTAAGAATTCTATTACTTGGTTTCCTTCAAATGAAAAAATAACAGTTTTCACTCACAACTCGATACAAACTTACAACATTTTCCTTCAAAATACACCCAGCTTAATTTGAATATACAGCGAAAGAAAGATGAAAACAAGTAGTATTTAAGCCCTTGCAATTACCAAACGTTATCTTGTAAAGTCAAACATTAGCGAAAGAAATGTCTTTGTAGTTGGTCGAGAAGAGAAAAGTCAATACCCCAGTGAATAAAAAAATACCATTCACATGTGCGTGTATAAGTATCAAAATACATTCAAGTGCGTTTACACATTCCGCAAAACATCACAGTGAAAAAACGTCTCCTTGTCTTACCCCGAGGATTAAAATAATTCAGTTTATCAGAACATCAATAGATCCTTGCAACATGTAAGTAATTTATCCACAGATATCTTTTAGTAGAAAGTCTGAACATATTATGATCCTAGCATATTTCTGAGGCCAAACCGTTACAAATGTTTTCTATTTTCTTCGCAATTGAATCTCTGAACTTTAAACTTGTAGAGAGAAAACGGGTGCAAGCCAGAAAAGTTATATTCCAAAAGCCATCACTCATTGAACCGACATTTTCTGTCGTCTGCTAACGTTTTCGTTTCTGCTGATCGAATTTCAGTTGAAATTTTGTAACAGAATTTGCGCCTGTTCCTCTCATAAGTCAAACTGACAACCTTTCCTCATTTGTCAGCACAATATATCTCTTCTTTATAATTACACAAATTCTTTTCGGTTGAGAAACAGCTTAAAATTACCTCTTCAAATTTAAAGTTCAGCTAATCTTTTCCGTTAATAGCGGACTGGAGCTATATAGCGAGAAGAAAACAGGCGACCCAATGTATCGGATGGATTATAATTTAACTGACATAGAAATACAATGCTTCGCGTCAAACCCTTAACGACATACTAAGATTGAATGGAGGATAGAATTTGATAGCGTTTTCTTTTCATATTCGCCTCCGCAGCGAAAATTGCTGTTCTTTTTTCGTGTATAGCTTCTATCGCACTAGGAGGTTATTCCCCTCCACTGCACCTCAATAACCCAGTAATGCTAGTCGGGCCTCCGGCTTGGCAGGCTGTCATTAGTAAGTTAGAATCGCTAGCAATTTGATCCACGAAAATACATAACAATACACTGCTTAGTTGGAGACTGTCTTTATTGTTGAACTGAAGCAGATAACAAAGGATATAGTCAGTGTCTGAAACGAACATTTAGTTATCTCAACTCAACTAAATTCCAGACATTATTCAAAAATATCCTCTTAACGCCTGTCAAGTAGACCTGGCAAATTTGTCATTCAGTTTGGTTCTTAGTTCTTGGTTCTACATTCAAGCAAAAATATGTCCTAAACGAAAAGCATGTCCTGTATCTATAGGCAGCGTCATATATGCTAAGAAATCCCGTTTTGTATCATCACACCTTTTTATAAGTGAAGGATAGACAATCTGATCACTTCCCTTGCTTTCTACATCCTTTTCCTTTCGAAAATTTGATTCAGATGGTTGTTACACTCGTAAAGATCATCGGAATTACATTGTTAAAAGAGTAACTGCTATAAAATAATGTTTGATATTGGGTATTTAAAGGCAAATGAAAAGAGAAAGCTGGAATCGTTTAAACTGTAATCAGAATCCCAATGGAGGTGACATTCAAAGTGAAAATGTCACAAACCTAGTCAGTAACAAAATGACTACCACACCCCACCTTTAGCAAAATATTATCAAAATAGATTTCCAAGTACAATATCACGTTAGTTTTACTGGTTTCAATCCCCTTTTCTGTTTTTTTTTTGTTGTAATATCTATCATTGAAAAACCTAAGAAGAAAAAAGTACCGCATATCAATAATTGAGTAATAAAGCAACACGAAATACCCGACCAAGCTCATATAAGAGCGTTCCTCCGTGCATTGTCATAGTAAAAATAAAGCTGTATTTGTGAGAATGAATTGACAAAGGAATGGGAGAGGTGAAATTTACCCATACCATCGTGCCCAATTCAAATACCTCACCCACAATATTCGTCATCTAATGTTTGGAACGCTATCCATTTACAGAAAGCCAAGAAAGATATTTGTTCATTTTGACGTGAGTTGAACAATAGAAAATCATGTTGGACTTTATTCCGTGGTCTCTTTTCTTGTTTGTAAACAGAGTATAGTGCACACAAGATAGCCGAGACGGTAAACTGAGCTTTTCCCTTGTGGTCTTAACAAACATAACCCTTCTTTGATAAAGGTTTTGACTAAATCCCTTATTCTTTCTCCAAATTTTCGTCAAATTGAATTTTCTATTGAAATCATTCACAAACGCCTTAAAAATAGTAGTTCATCAAATCATTGATATGGTCACAAACTAACCAAGTAATTCTTCTATTAAAATTCTCTCAAACAAACATTGGATTAATTTAAGTCCTATCATGGCCCTACAACTCTTCCAAATGGCTGTTTTTTGTACATTCTAGGACAATAAAGTCAAAACCGAAAATAAAATTGAAAATATTGCACGTTAAAACGATTTCCTCACCTAGCAAGAGAATTCTCATAGCGATTGATATCAGTTGCCATTTAGTAAAATATTCATACCATTTTAAACCACCCCAATTATCCAGGACTTCAAATTATCCCAGAGGGTGGTCTATAAATATACGAAAGGTCACATTATTCATTTAAAACCTGAACTCTATCGATACATTATACAATAATCATTATTATCGTTGGCCAGAACATGACGCGGTTGCCCACAACAGTGACCATCGTGATTGTTTAAGGTCAATTATCAACAACAGTAGATACTGTACCGCGAATTGTCAGAAAAATGAACAAGATGGCATTTACAAAAACGTGATGATGTAGTTCAGGTTCTTTCTAAAAAATATATTTATAGGAATTAGGAAAATATGGAGCATTTCATTTAATATTGTCTCCCAGTCAAAGCATTTATTTGGAAAGTTGAATTTTTCCGTCTTCTCTGTTTGATGACGTAAAGAAAAGAATATTGTCGGTTGTTTTCAAGAAACGTGTTGTTGTAAATGTTGTTTCAATTGACAACAATACATCAGAGATTTTTTGTTTGACGTTAAAAACGACTTTTCAAAAAAGGTCTTTTGTTTGGTTGTTTATCCTTGCTAATACTCGTCTTCTATTTGATCTTGATAACCCAGCCTTTCTCTTTTTAACCTTCAAATCTTCCCAGTATCTATCAGGCTTTCGCTATTCATAATTATGGTGTGATGCTTTTTGTGGTCATCAGCAGCTAAGCAATTTTCCAAGTCATGCTCAACAAAACATCAGAATGTTTGGTGAAGCAATTAGAGATCGAAACATCAGAGTTTTTAAAAGTATGACAAGTCAAGAATACGACAATAGGATTTGTAGAGTATTTACCTTTGGTCATTTGTTCTAAAAGCTACTAGCCTTTAGAGGCTTGAATCCTTTTCTAATAAATTATGATTTCAGTTGAGTCACTTCCTCCCAACTTAAAACTAAACTTACGGTATAGATAAGAATAATGTAAAGTTTAAAATAATCTGTAAACAATATCTCCTTGAGAAAGAGTTGATATTAAATGATTTAGTGTCTCGAATGAAAATGTCGCTTATCTGTAGTTTAGTTTCATTATAAACATTGATCCCATTTAAAACCAATTGAAAGCCATTAATAAAGATTAAAGTGTCTTGTCATTTTAAGATAGCAGTATAGAAAAGGAGGGTCTATCTACATAAGTTCATATCTTGAAAATGGTCGTCAAGATAATTTGTCGCAACTAACATTTGCATTTTTGCAAGCATTATAATATGAGCAAACCATGGCATCACCAAAAAAAATTTAAAGGGAATGTAAAGAGGTTTTTGAAAAAATTGTATGTGTATCGGGGACACTGATAGCATCAATTTGCACCACTAAATGGGAATGGTGCAAAGCTTTATCAGTGTTCTCGATACACATGAAACATTTAAGTCATTTAATCCTGCACTTTCACGACAATCTGGAAATAACTTAACATATAAATAAAATGCAATCTGTGATCATATGAGTGCACGGCCTTTCCTATTAAACAACACAGTTAGTCGTAACAGCGAAGTGATACTTTTTTCACGCAGCCAATAAATTATAGAGCAATAATTATAGCATTGTATTTGTATAGGCTATAATTGTATTCAAATTTATTTTTTTCGCACTAAAGTTTGCATGTTTTCTGCAAGTATGATTGCCTTGAATAGCTGTTTTTATAATATTTAGACAAAATACATAATATTCTTAACCAAATATTGTTCTAGTTGAGTTTTATACAAAAGACAGATTTTCTGACATAGCTGAACTCGAGGAATCGGTTATTCTAGAGCCAAAGAAAATAACAATAACCTATATTGTATACAACTTAAGATTTTATTCAAAGAAGGAAAAGAAATAGCCTTTCTATTCTTTGACACGAGTTAATGCATTCGACATCTGATTTTTTTTATCGAGTTTCCCCTACAGATCAAATACTTAAATATAACACTTGCTGTAGATTCTGTGGAATGAGCGAAGGGGAGGCTAA